TCCCCTAAGATGCAAGCATCAACTTGTAAGCATTAAACGGACCACTACTTCTTTCTGTACACACTCTCTGTTCCTTCTTTTGTTTTGGGACCCAACTTCATTACTATCTTCCAAATCAGGATTTAAAGATAAACACATAAGCACCTGGTACTTGAGGAACCTTCCTGCCTGGTGTTCCCTCTATTGTCCCTCCTGTGAAGGGATAGTTTCTTTCCATCACATAGGTGAGCAATATTGACCTGTATTTCTAGTTGTGCAAATGAATTTCACGTTGCTGTCCAGATGCTTATATACCTGCAAATTCACCTGTTTAGGGGAATCTAATTTCTAAATCTTGCCTGGAGTCAAGCTAGAGCACTGGTAAACTGCTCAGTCTGGAAAATAAAGGACAAAATGTGAACAGATTTCCCCTCTGGCTCCGTGCAATGTGCTCTTTCACAGTGTTTATGGGAGTCTTTAGGGAATATCTCATATGGGCTCACCAGCAAATCCTCCTTCATTCACACCCCTCTACTCTAACAGGTACCTGATTTGTGTGCTGTTCTTCAATCTCTGGGGGTCTCCTTCTAATCTAGCAGGCACCCCCAATCAAGAGATCTAGCATCATGTTGGACAGATGGGGCTCATATAGATACAAGAGGACAATCCTGGGAACAAGAACAGGGTGAGCTGAGGATGAAATTAGGGTAAGTATGACATTGGTTCTAAAGGGACTGGCTGAGCTGAGGGGAGGAGCTTGTTGTAAGAGGGAAGGCCAGAGAAAAGGCTATTGGAAATGCTTTGTGAGGAGGCTATGGGAAGAGGGAGAAGGTCTTGAGAGAGTCAAGCCTCCTTTCCATAAGAAAGTGGGGGCCATTGAGTAATATTCCAGGGCACAGAGGAGTCTTTAGCAGAACCATTGGCCACATGTTCTTTGGGCCTGTTATTATCCCAAGTGATGCTTTGTCATGTTTACTTAGATATTCTGGACATTTTCTTTTCACATTTATAAAAGCAACATGTACTTATTACAGAAGACTCAAGCAGAAAGAAGAAGAAAAGGCCCTACTCACCAGAAGCAACCACAAGTACCTCATTATATAGCTTTCTAAAGTCTCTTGTAAACATATACTTACAACATGTTTAATACAAGTGGGCAATATCACATACACTGTTTTATAAGGTACTTTTTAAACTTAATGTGTTGTGAATAATATTTCATATCAATAAACAGACTTCTGTGATAGGATTTTTAAGAGCTGCCAAGTTGGTTACAGTATTCATAAGCCTTACCCCGCATTTTGAAGTGTTAAACTTTGCCTTTCATTTCAGAAAGTTTTTTTTCTTTCCCTGTAACAGAAAAACATTTCCTTTGTAACTGAGAATGTTATCTGAACGTCATGGGTATCACCCTGGAACATTATCATTTCTCTCTCTTTTTTCTTTAGCCAAACCTCAGGAGCTGGGAAAAAGGTCTGTAATGTATCTGTGGCAAAGTTCCTAGCCACAAAACTTTGGACACATCTATAAAATTATAATTTCAGGTGAAGGGATATCATATGCTTTATTTCTCTGAAAACTACAAAGGAGAGGACTAGAGCTATCAATAAGTTGCACATAGCACTGGGTATGCTGAGTGTAGAAATCTGGTAGTTAGGCAGGCCCAGTTGGCCAGAGCATGGCAGGCTTTTCATGGGCAGAGCTACATGTTGACTGTTCAGAACTTTATTTGAGGGTTTCTGAGGCACAGAAGGCCTAGATGCAAAGAATATATTTTCCTTTTCATGTATCGCACCCTTTTTAGGTAAGGATTCTGCACTGAAGGGAGCGAGAAACTGACCAAACCACAATGACTTTATTCCTAAGTGACTATCTCTCTATACAACAAGCCTTCTGAATGTCTACTGGTGGCAAGGGAAGAGAGGGAATTTTCTTTTCATTCCATCTCTACCTCTCCTTCCTTGAACTTATCCCCCATCTCCACTTCTTGCTTTGGCTTTATCTCTATATGATGGTTTTGGTATCCCTACATTCTCTGTTCTACCTGAACACTATGTATTTCATGGCAAGCACTGAGGGACTCCAAATGACATTAGAGGATATTTTAAATCAAACTCCACTTAGAAACTATAATAAAAAGAAGATCTAACACTTATTGAATATTTATTACATGCTGCATTACGTTTACACTTTCATTTAATTCTCAGAAGAATCTTATTTGCTATTACAATTATTTCCACTTTATAGATAAGAAAACTGAGAGTCAGAAAAGAGAACTTGCCAAACTTCACTCAGCTAGGCATTTACAGTATGAAAAGTCAAAACCAGGTCCATATGGATCCAGAGTCATTTGTTACACTTTCTGAGTAAGGAAAAAAAAAAGATGGAACAAAAACAAAATAAACCTAACGTAAGGCCAAGAGAATTGCTGACAGACATATCTCATTCCTTCCCCATGTTTAATGTCAATTTTTATATCTTGGCTAAGAGTGTCTTTATAAAGCTATTTGCTCAAGGTTATCCTCCTCCTACCCCACCCCCCAACATCAGATGATTTTTATTTATAGCCAGGTTTAAACATCATGGGCAACACTCAGGCATGCTACATACTGAATTTGCCATCTGAGCAAAGATTCTTTCCCTAAGCAGATTTGCTTTATTAACTTTTTTTTCCCTTTTGGCCAGGAAATTAAAAGGTCAATTTTTGGTTTGCTTTTTAATTTTTGTTCCAAGTATCCCTCAGCTTTAGAATTGAGTTGGTCAGGTCAAATTGGTTAAAACCAGATTAATCAAACTTAACTTTTTTTTTTCTACAGAGTAAGAAAACATTCTGGATTTCTTTTAAAGATAAAGATACCCTGATTAACATAGTTCTATGTTGTTTATAATCATGTGTGCTTTATTTCACTGCTTGAATGCTAATAAAAGCTTCCTAGAATTCATTCCTTAAGAAGTTAAGTCACTGCATCTAATTATTTGGCAGGAAATTTTAAGTACATATAATTATATCTTCCTTCCATTTTGTGATGGTGTTGAGCCAAGTAATCTGCATCAAGAGAAAATAAATAGCACCTGCATTAATGCTACCAACAAGGAGCTCATAGTATATGGGAAAAACCCTATCATTATAATCTTAGCACATGGTGGGTGTTAATACTTCTTAATCTGCCAAACTAACATCACCACTATTTTTGCAGGTAAGAGAACTCAGGCAAAGGAAAATTATATTGACCCTGTTCCATATTTTAGTCCTTGGAAGTTGACCGTGTGACTGGCTGCAACTTTTGGAGTACGATATTTTAAATCCTGACCACTACCTTGGACAAGTCCCTTCTCTGAGTGCCGTGGTTTGCTTTTTTCCCTACCAGACAGGGCCAGTCCTTACACAGGTATATGGCAATGGTGAAGAAGAACATGAGCTGGCACCCTGGGCTACAATAGGCACGACTGGGCATGAGATGGATTTCACTCATTCCACGTGGTCCTAACTCTTATTCCTTTATTATTTGGGGATGTTAATGGAAAAACAGGATCAGAATGGGACAAAAGAACTTTTTCCCAGACTGGTAAATTATGTGGTAGCCTCCTGGAGGAGTACATCTGAGGTACTTTCTTCTGGGCCCACTAATAGGAGGTACAAAGGGAAAACAGAATTGCAACTTCCAGCGTGGAGAGGCAGGGCCAGTCAGCCTTGCCAAGCAGGTTATCTTGGATGAAGGATGATTTTCAGTCCCGCCATTGACATGATGCCCTCAGAGCTGCAGAATGAGAACTCTCCTTGCAGAACGCTTGGGTGTGGCGAGGTTGACTGCGATTGAGGGTAAGGACTTGGAAGACGCTGACTAGCTCTGCCTTGTCCTTTCATGGTTAAATGTCCTTTGGAAAGCTTCGATACCTCTTAAATGCTGGGGGCATCATAATCTCTCTCTGTCCATTCCAAATGTTTCCAGTATTGTTAGGAGAATACAAGCCCCACCAGGGCAGGAACCTTTGTTTGTTTGGATGACCCTGCTATTCTCGGGGAATGGAATCTGGGAAACAGCTGGCACACTGTGGAGCCAAATATTTCTGTAAATGAAGGAGCAGTGTGATGTGAAAACGTTTCGCAAACACCAAGGTCCAACCCTTACGGTACCAGAGCTTTCTTTAAAGAGCAGATCATAGCCGCTTCTACCACGCCCGGAAACGGTCAAGAAGCGGGCGCCCAGGTCCTTCGGGATTCTACTCCAGAAAGTAGGCCGGGGCGGGCAGGGTTGGAGGAAAGTGCACACCAGAGGTGCGGAAGACGACCTCAAGCGAGGCTGCGCGGGACTAGTAGAAGCGAGGCAGGGCCGAAATTGGGAGAAGAGGCCAAGCCTCGGCCCAGCCATCGCCCCTGACAAGGTGTGTGCTGGGGGAGTCAGGTACGCGGCGCGGCACTTCCCGGGCAGGTACACTCTCTTTCGCCTACGAGTGACCCAATTACAAGGTGCCGGCAGCGCCCAGAGGGGGTGGCAGTCACTCCAACTGGGCTGCGACATATCACCCGTTCCTGTCCCAAAAGATGCATTAATCCTATGCAATTCCAGCGCTGTTGGATTACGGAAGAGTCACAGGGTCGCAATTCTCGTTTCCGTTACCAGGCTGCCAAGCCCCAGGTAAAGCGCTAGGGATTGTTACCCAACCTGCTTCCCAAGGGAGCAGGTCTCAGAAAGCCAGGGTCCTCCACCAAAACTGCGCTTGCGCGGGACCAGCAACGGCGCCTCACGAAGTTTAGAGCTCGCGGATTTGCCGGGTTGGCCGTTTCGAGCACTGCGCTTGCTTGGACTCTGTTCTTCCCCTCCCCCATAACCCCTCCTTTCTGGGGGACCACGCCCCAAAAGCGAAGGCGCTTCAGTCACCAGCCCACTACAGTGCGCCTGCGCCTTGGCCCTAGTGTACGCCCCGGCCCCAGCTGTGCGTCGGACCGCGGCCGGCTCTGCAGTTGCGCAGCTCGTCTCCCGGCCCGTTTCCCCTCCATTCCCTGCCGCCTCCTGACGCCGGCGTGACGTCACCACGCCGGGCGGCCGCCATTACAGAGAGCGGAGCTCCGGAGCCAAGGCGATCGGAGAAGGAGACGCAGCGGCCGGTGGCCGAGAACTGCGGAGAGAGCCATCGGGCCAGCGCCCAGCAGCTGCCAGGGGCCACAGAAGTACCCCGGGAATCGGCGGCGGCGTGTGCGTGTGGCCCGTGTGCGGGCGGCGGCGCGGGAGTAGCGCGGAGCGGCAGTCAGTTCGGGCGGGTGGCATCATGGACGAGAAGGTGTTCACGAAGGAACTGGACCAGTGGATCGAGCAGCTGAACGAGTGCAAGCAGCTGTCCGAGTCCCAGGTTAAGAGCCTCTGCGAGAAGGTGGGTTGCTCTTGTTATGAGGGACCCGCCGCGGGCCGGGCCGCCGAGGAGAAGGCTGTGGGGAGGGTGCAATATGGCGGAGTCGCGGGCTGGGCCCCCCGAGCCTCGACGACCGGCGCCGGGCCGCGCCGGCGGCGGCTCCCCGGCGCCCCGGCGCCCCCTGCCTCCCGCGCGAGGATTGGTTGTTGCCGCCGCCTAAAATGGCGCCGTTCACCCGATTCCGGGGCTTTGGAGCCTCCGGTCTGTGCCGGGCAGAATGGCAAGGGGGATCCGAGACCTGGAGGGTCAGGGACGGGGGCGGGTTGAGATCTCTGTGAAATGAAGCTTGTCTTCGGACCCCGGGATAGGGCCCGGTCCACCGCGGTGAGGTGGGTGAGAGGCATTTCATTAGTGCTCAGGCCTAATTCTCGGGCCAACGCTAACGCGAGGATCCCCCAAACATAAACTTGTAGGCCAGATTTCAGGACCTATGTAAAGGTCACACAGCTTTAGTCCTGTCCTTGGTGGTTTGTATAATGCTCACCAAACAAGTCTTCAGAGACCTGTTTAAAGGGCGTCTTTAAAAATCAGAAGAATTCGGTAACCTAATTTCAGCGAAGGTCATAGTGGTAGTTACAAGGGAATAGTATAACTTTATTTTTCATAGTTGGAAGAAATGGAGAATACGGTGAGTCATACTACATAAGGAGCTTTTGGATTGGAAATCAAGTGTCAGTTTAATCTGATTTATATGCTGACTCAAATTGGGTAGTGTGAAACCTTTCTCTAAGCTTAACGTACTTGGCATTTTGCCATTTATTTTTAGAATGAGCAACAAATTGGAAGAGCGTCAAAATTGGTATTCTCGCTCTTTGTTGAAAAAGTTACTTGATTTTATTTTTCTGGCTACCAGTAGTAGTTACTGGATTCCGGACTTTGTGCTTAAGGTTTAAATGATGTCTCACAGATGTTGAAAATGGATTGTTGTGGTCCACTTAATAACACTGAAGTATTTTCTATTACCTGATTCCGCTTTGTTTTTCCTTAGGGGTTGGGGAAACAGCCTGTTGGCTATCGGCTATGTTGTATTTTTAAAGTTTTGTAACTGTTTTCTAAAGTATGTAGAATGTTCATTTCCACTATGAACATTTTAACTTTCCTTTTCACAATTAACTTTGTAGCGGTTCGTTTTAGTATAGAATTGTGTATTTTGTATTAATGGAAGAGTTTTTGGAGAGCTATTTGGGCTGTCTCGCTTGTGTTTGAGTTGAAAATTAGGATCATAGGTTTGATGTGTATGTCCAGACTTTTCCAAAAACTGTGCTAAGAACAATTAGAAATTAAGTTTAATTTAGATTTATTTATTCCAAGCCTGATCAAAACTCCACCACTAGTTGATGACATCTCTTGGAATTGAATTTTAATTCTAGCAATGCATTACGTCTCCTATTTCTTTACCTTTCTTTCTCTCACAGGAGGTTGGTATTTAGAAGTTTAGAAATAGGCCTTTAAAAATTACTAAATGTATATTGTCAGGTCTTAATTTTTAGTTACTATAAATGATGGTTTTACTGACTTTGGGGGTTCAGTACTTATAAAGTTTTTAGTCTATAGTTAATTAGGTGACTAATTATTTGTGAAGAAAACATTAGAGGGGGAATAATGATGTCATTCGAAGGCCAGTCACCAGATGACTAGTGAGTTCTGAACACTAGTCCACATGAATAACTGACCGGCTTTGGGGCAACCACTTCACTTAGTTCTTGTTTTATTGTCTGTAAAATAGTTAAAATACATTCTAAGATCACTTTTAATCTCCTGATATATGTTTTTGTTTTAAATTAATATTTTGTGTTTAAATATCGAAACCTATTGAATATTCAAGATCACATACTTTTATGATGGACACGAAAAGCAGTGAATAATCTTGCATATTTTCAAGAAGCTTTGAATCTGGTTGGAAAAACTTAGCATGGTGTGGATATAAGTAGGAGGCGAACCATGGAAATATAGGGTTTGCTTTGAGACTTATTATAGAAGATCACATTGGATGCTGAGGTGGAGAGGCTGAAGCTTAATGAATTCAGTGTTATTTTCCATATCTTTGTAAAACTAAGATGTAGTGAGGCTAATCAGCTATCTTCATTGCTCACTCAGAGTGTATAGATTTTAGTTCTGAGAGCCAAAAGGGTAAAAATAATAATTGAAGCTAGGTGTTAACCTAAGAGGTAACCATGGAATAGGTCCTTTTTTTGATACCATCGCACAGCCTTTTTAATATTTTTAACTCATAAGTATGCCAACTTTTGGAACTATATTAACTTCCCAAATCAAGTTAATTTGAAGACTGCTTTTTAGATATATGGGGTGCATGCTTGATATCATTCATACAAGTTCTAGTAAAACAAGTTTTCATGGTGAATATTTGAAGCCCATTGGCATCTCTGTGTGAAAACCACATGTACTCTGATGTAATTGTCTTCTAAATAGTAATTTTGAAAATACTGAGTTAAAGTTTTTCATTAGTATATAAGTAGGTTTTTTAAAAGATACTTTATAGACAAGGGCCAACATTATTGACTAGCTAAAATGTTTCAGATGTGATTAAGGTTTATATTTATTGTATGTACAGTATATTTTTTCATTTTAGGGGATCCTAATTTGTTTTAAAATTTGGTGTGTGAGTGCAGTTTTGTCTTGGGTACAGTTCTATAGTCAGTAGCCTAACTACATCTGTGTAATTGACTAACTATACTCAACAAGTTTTATTATATGAGGTCAGTAGTGACTTAACTTAGGTATGATTTTTTACTTTAACTTCGAGCTTTCAAACACATGGAGAATGTTGTTTGATAGCTAGTTTCTCCCCAGTGGAATTCTTCACCTAAGTATGCATTTTCCTTTGCTCTACAAGCACTATAAATAAAATGCAGTCATTATGACTTCATTTACTTTTACATTGTTATATGAAATGAGTAATGTACTTGTGTGAATGTGTTTGTTTAATTTAAAAGGCTGTTGGGCACATTTCCATAGAAGTGATTTGGGAAAAAAAAATGAAAAAAGAAGCAGTTTGAATATTGAGAACAAACATGTGGGAGAAGCATCTTACGTAATATTATTTTCATCATACTTTCATGTACAATTTTTATTCTATAATACATATAGACAAATGCTCAGAAAAATAAAATGACTTGACTATAGGGGCTAAGGCTGAGATTGCCTGGGTTTATGGATTCTAATCCCAGTGTTCTAGCGTTGCTTTATAGATCCTCTTCTCTTTTGTGGGGTAGTGTTAATGAAGGATGCAGCCATGCCTGATGGTGCACACCTATCTGTAATCCCAGTGACTTGGGAGGCTGAGGCAGGAGGGTGGCAAGTTTGAGGGCAGCCATAGCAATTCAGTAAGACCCTGTCTCAAAAAATTGTAAGGTGGGGGGTGGAAGGTTGATAGTGGAGGTTTTAGGGGTACCGGTGAATCTGCCCAAACCGAATTGTGAATCAACAATTATCTTGAAAGCTTCTATTCATGTCATATACTGTTGTCTTACTTTATCCTGGAAACAGTAATTATTCATCCATTTTGTACGTGGCTAACTACATTTGCTTCTCAAATAAGAGTAGTGAGATGAAAACCCTAGGTCATTGTGACTTGTCTGAAATTATGACCCAGAAATTGAGTTGTAAAATATTCTAATAAAATGTAACTGACTATAAAAGTCAGTAATTGCGGCTTATGAAATGCCCTTTTTTTTTCATCCTTAGCTTCTACAGTCAAATGTATGTATGTTTGTTTCATGATCTGTCAGTGTGAAATTGAAATGCAGTTTTGTATTAGCTTAATGGAGGAAACAAATCAGTTCTATTCCCATATGCAGGTATCAGTCCTTCTGTTTTTTCTATCCAAGGCTAAAAGTTCTGTGTCTTCAGAAATGGGATATAAGGTGAAACTCATACTTCAGAAAGAATGATGAGTTTTCCTAGAGGAGTAGATGGAATAATATATCTCAGTCTTGGTGTTCTTCTGTTTTTTGTATTTTTTGTGATGCTGGGGATTTTAACCCAAGGGTGCTTTTTCACTGAGCTACACCCCCCACCCTTTTTAGTCTTTTTTGTTTGTTTGTTTGTTTATTTATTTTTATGTGGTGCTGAGGATTGAACCCAGGATCTCACACAGGCAAGGCGAGCGCTCCACTGCTGAGCCACAACCCCAGCCCTCCTTTTTAGTCTTATTTTGAGACAGTCTTGCTAAGTTGCTGTGGCTGGCCTCAAACTTGCAATATTCCTGAGTAGATGGGATTACAGGCATGCAGGTGGTGCCTGGATGGTGTTTTCCTGTTTTATGGCACAAAATGTGTTCCCTATCTCATTGTAAATTAAGTGTGTCAGAGTTTATTCTTTGTTTTATTTGGAGGTAAAAACCAGGAGACACTGAATTTGGGTGGAGATGGTGGTGAGTTCTTTTTTGAGATTGTTGAGAGAATTAAGTTGGACAAGAAAATATTCTTTTCTTTCTACTTTGACCCATTTCTCTTAATTCAACTTTTTCCCCCGTATCATTTTTTTCATTTTCATTCTTGTCTGAAAAAGCCCTCTTATACCCAAGCAAGATATAAATTGGACTGGGACTAGAAACAGGAAGATTTTTGTTAAATAACTATTCTTTTGGTTTAGCAGAATAGGCTGAAGAAGGGAAAGGTTTTTAGCTGTCAGTAAATGACTTGGGGGGTGGGGTCTGAAAGAATATAGAGAACAGTCTGGGATTAACTGCTTAATTTATGCACAACACAACATTATTGTCTATATGTTTTAGTATTATGGATTGTGATTTGGAATGGATGAAAAAGGAGAGATGTGTATGTATCTAAATCTAAACGAGCTGGCCAGTTGCTCCTGTACTCACTGTTCTCACCTCTGCCTTAGTCATTGTAGTTACTATTACAGATGGTAACTTTTTTTTTAATATTTATTTTTTAGTTGTAGTTGGACACAACACCTTTATTTCACTTGTTTATTTTTTT